CTCCAGATCTGTCACTATCCAAGGGGTCCTAGGACAGGCAGTCACTAGATACTTCTCCCAGCCACTAAGTTGTGACTGGGGAACTTTACTCTTTTCACATGCCTTTCTAATTATGCCTGAAAGCCCACTCCTTTGTTAGGGAAAGACATCCTAGCAAAAGCAGGGGCCATTATACACCTGAACATAAGAGAAGGAACACAGTTGGCTGTCCCCTACGTGAGGAAGGAATTAATCCGGAAGTTGGGCAACAGAAGGACAATGTGGACGAGCAAAGAATCCTGTCCCATTCAAGTTAAACTAAAGGATTCCGCCTCCTTTCCCTACCAAAGCCAGTACCTGCTTAGACCTGAGGCCCAACAAGGACTCCAAAAGATTGTTAAGGACCTAAAAGCCCAAAGCCTAGTAAAACCATTCAATAACCTTAATTATACCTACAAAGTTCGTTTTTCCATGCAAAGTAACATTAACAAATTTCAAGGATTAGGAGGACATGGACATTTTTGATGACTCAGTCATTCTATGCCACACTCTTGTATTTTACATCTATCTTATTTTTGGATTTCATTCTTACTTTTCTGAAGTACATATTTCAGAAAGAGTATATGATAATTGAACTTTCTGAAGTCTTTATTATGTACTCACACTTGATTTTTTGTTCTGACACGAAATAGAGTTCTAAGTTCAAAATAATTTTCAGTTACAATTTTAAAGGTATTATCTTTTGGTATCTAAAGTTTCTGATGAGAAATCTGATACTAGCTCAGTTCTCATTCTTTTATAAAAGGTCAGATTCTTGTGTCTGGAAGCTTTTAGGCCTTTTTATTTTTGATGCTCTGAAATGTCTTCTTTATATGTCTAGGTGTGTTCTTTTACTATTATTTTGCTCAGTATTAAATGTGTTCTATCAATTTAGAGACCTGTATTTCAGTTCCTTGAAATATCTTTTCAATGTCTGATACTTTTCTCCTCCTCCTCTTGTTCTCTTTCAGAAATTATTAGTCAAATAATGAATTAGTCTTCCATTTTTTTTTCAAAATTCTCCATGTTTTTGTTTGAATACTGCAGGTTCTGTGATTTTTTTCAATTAAATCATCTTGCCATTTTAATTTTTACATTCATATGTTTATTTTCAACAGACTTTTCTTATTATCTGATGTTCCTTTTTCAGAGTATTTTGTTCTCTAATATTTTCTTGAGTACTTCTTAGGAAACTTATTATTATTAATTTCTTATTTTATTTTGGTTCCTTAGCTGACTCAGAGTCTTCCTGAAATAGTTTTTAGTTTCATCTTTCATGTTGTTGATTTTCACATCTCTGATGGTTTTTCATTCTTCATTCATTTTAAAGACTTGGGCCAGGTGCAGTGGCTCACACTTGTAATCCCAGCACTTCAGGAGGCCAAGACGCAAGGTGGGAGGTTGCTTGAGCCCAGGAGGTTGAGTGAGGTTGCAGTGAGCTATGATCTATGCCCATGTCACTGCACTACAGCCTGGGCAACAGAGAGAACCCCTGTCTCTAAAAAAGGAAAAAAAAAAAAAAAAGAGTGCAGTTCTAGATAGAGGTAAAGACAAAATACTGGGGAGAGGAATCTGGAGGAATGGAAGTACAGTGGTTTCCTAAAGAGGTTTTAAACTGACATTTTGTATTTAGCCCCCTTCTCATTTCACCTTCTACTGTACAAGAGAACTCCATTCCTGGAGTCTCTCTGGGACTTTGCTAGGCAGATCAACTCTCTGTGAAACATCAGTCACCTCCGGAAAAATTATGGGATGCCACTTCCGTGATCTGTTTCATTTGTCAACAAGTTTCCACATTTCTTTTGATCTTTCCAATAATTTTGGAAATACCTAGTCTGCTGATGGCCCCTCTCCAGGTCACTTCAGCTTAACAAATTTATTGGCTAGGCATGGGAACTAATTCCTGTAATCTCAACACTCTGGGAGCCTGAGGCTGGAGGATCACTTGAGGCCAGGAGTTCTAGACCAACCTGCGCAACATAGCAACATAGTGTAAAATTAAAAAAAAATTAGCTGAGCATGATGGCATGCTTCTGTAGTCCTAACTTTTCAGGAGGCTGAGGCGGGAGGATCCTTTAAGCCCAGTTCGAGGTAACAGTGAGCTATGCCACTGTACACCAGCATGGGTGATAGAGGAACTCTTGCTTTATTAAGGCTTTAGGAGGCAGACTAAACACTCATGTCACTACCTTCTCAAAGCAGAAATTTTTATTTACATTTGCTGTCTCTGGAATTTCTGGTCTGATTACCATTGTACCAAATACATTTTACTGTCCCATAGAGGAATTTTTGTATTATTATTCTTTTTCACAGTTTAGTAAGCTATTTTTATGCAACTGTTGTTGGATCTTTGGAATAATTTTGTTCAAGAAAAATGAGAATTTTGATTGCATCAAATTTAGATTTAAATGCGTGTAATCACCTGTCTTATCTTTAGAAATAGATGATCCGACTCCAAGTTTCAGCAGAGCAGTTTTCCATCTAGAGATTTGTCTGACTCCAGTGAAGCAAGAAGTGGTTGTCACTAGTTCTCACTAAATATAATAAAAGTGATCCGTGTAAATTCCCTGTCACTCTTAAAAGGATACTCTATAGAAAACATGTTAAAATCTGTTTGCCCAAATTATTTGCTTATAAAACTCACTCTGAGACCAAAAGCATCTCACAAAATTCTAGTGTTTCAGGAATGAGGTTTGAGAAACACTGGTGTTTAAGTATTTCGCCGATCATATTTTAAAAAGTATTTTCTAAACCCACTTTATATCCTAGTAGAAAAAGTGTTGCCTATTATTCAGTGCCTTTTTGACACTGAGATGATTTCCTTAACACTATATTTAACACAGATTTATATTTTGAATTATCTTTGCACTTAACAAAAACAACAAAAAACTCAATTTGGTTATAGAGAAATGCTCCTTTAAGACAGTATCAAACTGATTTTGCTAACATCTAGGAATTTTGCACTTAAGTTCACAAATGAACATCAAATATGAGTCAGGCACCAGGGATACAATGGTGAGCAACATGTATAGCCTTCATCATCACTAAGCTTACACTGAGTGACTTTAAATGTTCTTTTAGGATGTTAAAGATTATGGCAGCTTCAAAAATTAAGCTAAGAAGCTCTTCATCATTTTCTATTACTTGAGTTTAAAGCACAAGATTTAGCTCTTATGATTTTTACCCATAAATCTGAGTGGGCTGGAGGCTTTTTATTTGAGGGTACAGAAATTTGGCATCTTTTTTTCAGTCCTGTCTGTAGTTATTGACTTAATTCAGTTTTCCATCTTTTTTGAGTTATGTTTTCCTTGAAAAGTGACTATTTCATTTTCTATTAATATTTATTGGCAGTATAAAATTGTATAAAATATTTTAATAATTTTTAAACCTCCCTTTTATTAAATTACTAACCTTACTAGTGGCACTATTCCTTTTCTTGTTACATTTCCTGTCTTTGAATTTCACTGGTATTGCCAAAAACCAGCTTTATACCAGACTATGAGCACTTTATCAATTTGACCAGTTTCCTTTTAAAACGTTGTTCTCAAACTTTACTAATTTCCTCTTCCTAATTTCAATTATACAATTTTGTTCTTCATTTCTAACATCTTCAAATAAATGCCTGGTCTATTTTTATTCTTTCTTATTTAAAATAATGTTCTCCTATAGTTTGGTCTGTATCTTAAAATGTTAACATATAGTTTTTTTCAATATCACTATGTTCTAGTAATTACAATTTCTCTTTCCTTTTAGACTCAAAGGTGATTTATAAAGGTACTTTAAAATTTAAAATACGAACAAAATAAAAGTTCCGCTTTTGTTTTTTAGGGGTGCTATCCCTTAGCTAATTTTTAGCTTGTTCTATCATACTATCTTTACTTGTGCAAATTTAGCCCATCCTTCTAGGTCTAACGTTTATGCCACCTCTTTAGGAAGCCTATCTTGTGCTCTCTCCCTTCTCTAAAATTTTATATACATCCCTTAAACATATGTTTACATATTCTCCGCCTTCAACTCCCATTCTCAGGCTATTTTATTCCCGTTTATGAGATTTGCTGTTTAGCTCAGTATTTTGTGGGTTTTCAAAAGATTCCACTCAATTTACCGAGCACCTATGCACCAGACATTTTATTAGGTACAAGGAAAAGCGTTAAATAGATATAATCATGGCCTTCAAGAAACTGAACCTGGTAAGGGAGACGAATAAGTAGACATTCAAGTGAGCTTTAGGAGACTTGGTTTGGTAGTGAATAGTCTCACGTGTATTAACAATTTACAGCACCGTAAAATAAGAGACAGAAGCTAACAAATCCGTTTCAAACAGTTCAAAGGAGGAAAAGGAGAGGGAAGGGCGGTTTAGATACAGCTTCACCATAAATAGCCTGATAATCTAACCCTGTGATAATCCAAGTATAGTCAGAGCACCTGCCTCAGAATCACTTGGAAGGCTTGTGAGGAATACAAACGCAGATTCATACCTTCTGAAATTAGAATGGAGAAAGGGGCATTTAAGTCTGCATTTTAAACACATTCCCCAGGTACTGAGGCCATCCAGAGTTTTAGAACAGAGCAGAGCCACGCTTCGCAGACCTTGTTCCTCAACTACTGCCTCCTTCTAGCCGGAGGGCGGCCTGCAGCGTGTCCCTTTCCTTCCCACCGTCCAAGTTATCTATCCAGTTTTCCAACGTCGGCCCACACAGACCGCAGGACAATACGCGACAGACCAGGAGCTCCCACTACCCAAACTACCACACAGGGATCGGAGGGCGGACCCGCAAAGGATTCGGGGAAAAAGGCATCAGGCCAATCCGAAGGGCGAGAGCGGCCCTAGGAATGGAGGGGCGGTGTGGGTAGCGGGGGGGGGGGGGGGGGAGGGGGAGAGAGAGGTTTTTTTTGATTGACGTAAAGCGTACCCAATGAAAATAAGATTGGTAAAGCTTCCGCCATAATGGGCAGAACCATAGCGACATTTCAACCAATCCAGCTCAAAAGTGTCTATGTTGTGGGAGGTCCCTGAGGCCGCTGAGGTCGTTCGTGTCTGTTGAACGGTTGTGGGCGTCTTGCTGCTTTGGGTAGGGGGTTAAAATCGTTTCTTGAGAGGAACGACTCTGTCCGAAGAGATAATGAGTTTAGCTCTGAGGTCGGTAATAAGGAGGCGGCAGTGCTCTCCACACCCCGGAGCGGGACCTAGGGAGGGTGTGTGTGGAAGGGAGGCCGTTTGGGGCCGTGGCGAGGCAGGGGATGCTATTTGGGATGCGGGAAAGGAGCTTAGGGCAGCCTGTCTGGATCACTCATCCTCTGGGCTCCGGTGCCCTGCAGGGAACGAGACTTCCAGTGTATTTCTACTAAGGAGGTTATTTCTGTCAGTGCGTAGGGCTTTGGACTACCAAAAAAATGGGCTTAGTTGCGAGCGAGGAGGGAATGAAATATCGCGAGGCTTCTACTCTGTTGCCCTGAGAGATCAGGCCGCGGAACATCCCTTCATTCAATTCGTATTCCTGGCCAGGGCCCCACCTCGGCTGCTCCGCTGCTGATGCAATCATCCACCTATAAATTTTGGAAATAACAAAAAACTCTTTGCTATTCTCCCAAGGTCCTGCTTTACGGTGTAATTAGAAACCCATTTTAGTGACTAATTGGCAAACTGTCTCTTGGATTTCCTGTTTCTTTCATTTCTTTACCTTTCAGTTCTAACCTCTAACCCTCTGTCTGTTGCCCGCTCCGCCTGCGTAGAGGTTGTACCGTAAAACTGTACATATACTTAGGACACTCTAAAAATGTTCCAAGTTCTACTAAGGGATAATCATGGTACCCTTGGATGGGGTCAGGGGTGGGTCGGTTCTGGACTTGGCCTCTAAAAGTCTCAGGAAGGAAAAGACTGACCCCAGGAATACCCAAGTTTGTGTCAAGTCAGGTCTCATGAAAGGAAGATCTTCCTCAGCTTTGTCATACTGCATCTACTGGTCACTTCCTAGCTTTTTTTTTTTTTTTTTTTTTTTTTTTTTTGTAGCGTTCAGAGACCAAAACGACTTTCAAATGCAACTAGATACGTGTTTTAAATATAGTCAACTGGTTTTGACATGTGTTACCAGATTGTGTGTTTCAAAACTTGTTCTTATACCAGTGTTGCGGCTCCATTGGAAAACTTGGAGCACATTTAGATGGGCAGCTCTTAAGGAAAACATTTCTGGCTTTAAAGTAATTTTTGCTTTTTTCTTTAAGCGTTTCCAGAGTTTATGAGAAGTTTAACCTCCAGTTTACATGTTAAGTGGGACAAGACTTATGAAGCACAACTATTGTATACTTTTTTGACATCTAATATTTGTCATATGTTTAGACTCATTAATATTTTGGGTGATTTGTTAATATCAGTGGAGGAAATGACACATAAATTGCCAAACTGTTAGAAACGTGTAATCTAAAAACATTTTGAACCAACAGTCCCAAAATATAAGTTAAGTCAGTTGTATTTTTTGTAGTAATTTTATGAACTGAATTATCAGAACTATCAAAAGTAAACCGATATATGGTGATTGTCATGAATTTTGGTTTCATTTGGAGATTTTTTGGTTTCTTTAACATTCTTGTAGAATAATGTGAGTGTTTTTTTTTTTTTTTTTGGTTGGAGTTGGAGTTTCAGACATAAAAGTAATGTTGCTTATTCACAGTTCTTGAATAAATAAAAAGCTAGGGAAAGTGGGAATAAATAAAAAGCTGGGAAAAGGAAAAGTTTGGTCCCCATTTCTTTTAATAATCTGTAACACTCTTTAGTTTTGGGAAGTTCATATTTATAGCAATTTAGACTATGGAATAAACAGGGCATTGACTCGTAAAGGGAAAGTTTCCCTGTCTTTCTCCAAAGTACTTTCTTTTTTGAAATTTAGAAAATAATTATTGGATAATTTCTGTTAGTAAAGAGAATTAAAGTGGACTAAGGGCTTTTTCTTTCCATTTCATAGAAGTGAGCTTGTAGTAGACAAAACAAAGAGGAAAAAAAGAAGAGAACTGTCTGAGGAACAGAAACAAGAAATTAAAGATGCTTTTGAACTATTTGATACAGACAAAGATGAAGCAATAGATTATCATGAATTAAAGGTAATGGTATACTTTAAAATACTTGTTTCTGTGTTAAAATGATTTGCATTTTGACAGTTGCTTTACATTACATTTCTAAGTAATTATTTTAACTAAATTGGTTTTGGAACTATGAAGGCATTTTAAGCATTCATAGTTAGATTCTATAATAATACTGAATAGAACTCCTAACACAGTTTTTAGAAAATCTTTTTCACGTGATAAAACGAATAGCATTTTAAATGTAACAATACATTCCTAGGGAAGGTGCTTATTTTTCACTGACATAATTAAAGGATTTCAAACTGGAATTTAAACTGTTCTTACCATATTCTTTTCACTGTTTTTTTTGTTTTTGTTTTTGTTTCTTGGTGACTCATACTGTTTTCAGACTGTGGGATTGTTGTCTTTTAACCTTATAATTTGTTAGTAACATAGTCTCAATCCACTTTCTGTGGTACAAACAACTTCAGTGCTGTTTGATGTTGACACATGCTAATAGGTAAAAATGTCAACTTTAAGACCTAGAATGTCAAGGTGTAGAGAGGGATTTGTAAGTATAAGGAGAGATTTGGGTTTAGGGTAGAATGGGACTTACTTTCAGCACAGTGGGAAAGATAGTATTTTGAGATTTTTAATAGCCTTAATGGATAGGTGAATGTAAGTGTTTATTTGATAGTTTTAATTTTTGTAATTTCTCAAGGGATTTTTAAGCATTAGAATTCCCAGTAGGGATACGAGCTATGCAGTGACAGTATAGAATGTATAAAAACAATTAATAGGCCTGTAAGTCTAGCTTTCTCAATCTTGCAGTCCTCTTTAGCTCTCTTTTCCCACTGTTTTTTGTTTTTGTTTTTTGTTTTTGGTTACCCAGATTTGATCAATTCTTCCTTTATAGTGTCTCTTCCATTAGTAACCATTGACTGTCTTGGTTTCAGACCTTATTTCATACCTGGAGCTTCCTAAATGGTTTCTCTACTTGTAGTTCACCTTGTACACTACCACTGAATTTAGATAGTTTAAAAAATCTTTCACCATTGCTTATAAATTGTTCGTTGCTCATAAGCCTTTACTATTAATAACTCCTCATTATATACTACTTAAAGTTCAGATTCCTTTGCTTTCTACTGAATGTTCTCTACACTTTTGCCACCAACTACTTTTTTCATTTGCTAACTGCTTTCTTCCTCCCGAACTCTTCTAATTCACCTGGAATTCACCTTCTAATCCAGGTGAGCAGTTTATCTCACCTGAACTCTTCTAATTCAGGTGAGGTAAACTGCTCTGTTCGTTGTCCTTCAAACCTATTGTTCATTTCAGTGTTTCTTTTAATACTAGTATTGTCATTCCTCCCAAATGCCCTACTGCTCCTCTTCATCTGTCCTTCAAGGAACAACTTGAATCTTTCCAAATAAGACTTATCTAGTCAGTAACATGTTTCCTTCCTTGTTACTAGTAACAAAGTCTCTTTTTTCTCTAAACTCGGGGTCCTTCGCCCTATTATTAACCTAATAACTAATCATGGAGATACTGATGATAATTCTTATTTTAATGTTTTATCTCTTCTATCATATAACTTTAATATTTATGCTATGCCTTTTTCTCATTTTGGTTGTTAATCCCGTGATAACAAATAATAGTCAAATTATCTGTGCAGTAAGTTAGTGCATTTTATATAGTAAAATCTGTAAACACTTGTTGGTTACTTTGTCATATAAAAATGCGATTTATAAATGAAAAAACTTATACATACTTAATTTCAGTAGTGAAGAACAATTACACTGTCACTGCTATTTTAAAGAGGTAAAACATGCAAAAAAGTTATATTTTACTAACGTGTTTTTATCTCTTAAGATGTTAAAACTTAATAATTAGAAATTCTTTTGTAAAGATTGCTTTATAATTTGCTTTTCCCTTTTAATCCAAAAGGTGGCAATGAGAGCCTTGGGGTTTGATGTAAAAAAAGCTGATGTACTGAAGATTCTTAAAGATTATGACAGAGAAGCCACAGGGAAAATCACCTTTGAAGATTTTAATGAAGTTGGTGTGTATTTTAATAGTCTTTGTAATCAGCAGCTGTTAGGAAATTGTCTGATTAATATGACTTTTTAAATTTTAAATTCTCTAGGTTATGGAATTTGCTTATAGAACACTGGTGTATAATGTGACTCTTAGTTTTGTTTGGGTTTTTTTTTTTTTTTTTTTTACTTTTTTCATTTTCAAAGAAAAAATATGGCTTTGCTCTGAGATTTATAGTTTTGTCTTTTGTTTTGTTGTGAAGATTCTAACCAAGGAACTACTGTGTAGCTTTTTATGGAAAGATGCTTTTCCAAGTTATTTGTATTTATATTATGTGATAAAACTTGAAGGGTGATCAAAAAATTATTTTTGCTCAGTAAAACAGAAAATTTGATATCCTGCTGTTTGGAAAATGTTTCCCAAGACCTTTCTGGTATGTGATTTTTGCTGGCTAAGTGGGAGAAGAGGGAACTGGTAGTAGTTGGTATCTTTGGCTGTAGATGAAATGCATGACTTCAGGTTGACGAAGTTTATGAGAGGCTACATCCTTTGGATGACCTTGATCTTAGTGGATAAAGTCATCTGTTTAGAGGGTAGTAGTAAAGGAGGCAGTGGGCATACTGGAAGCAGGAGAAAACATCCTAGTACCACCAACTGAAGATAATGTGTCATAGGCTTAATGTGGCTAAATTTTTGTGTAGTTGATTTTAGTGAATTATTTATAGCATACATAGAGCAGACTTTTTCAAAATAGAAGAGTCTGGAAGGCAAGGGCGTTACTATTGTCTAGGATATTACCTACAAAATATATAAATATTCAGGTTTATTTCATTTTTTTTCCCCTAAACCAATGGGTCACGATATAAGCACATCATATAAGTATTTTAAGATATTTGGAAACAAATTCTGTTATATACACAAACCCCTTCTTTTAAATATTCATCAAGAAGCAATATGGGAAGCAAAAAGAAATGGCAATTAGTATACGCAGAGAAAATTTAGATTCATGTCATTAGTCAGTTTTTTGAATCCAAACGCTCAAGTCAAAAGCAGTTGAGATGGAAAATAAATGATAAACCTAAGAGAAAAAAAATACAGCACAGAAGATACTCAACTTACGAACTAATATATGACTGTTTAGAGAGGCAACTTGTCTGTTGGGGACATTTTCCTTTTTTCCTCTAATTTGTAGAATTTTTTATTTGAGGAGAGGGAGAGAGCCACCTTTTGTTCTCCCAGAATGGACACTCTCCTGAAGTTTATGATCGTAGTATTCCTAGTTTTACCTTAGATTGTTTATTTGTAGAAACAAGATGTTAGGATACAGTGGAAATGATACTATTAGGAAGGAACTATAATCCAGGTGTGTTTAGTACAGTATAGTGGTTTAGCACTTGGAACCAGATTCTGTTGGTTCATACCTTGGTTTTGCCACTTTATAGCTCTGGAACTTGGTCTTTTTAATACCCTGTGCCTCATTTTCAACTATAAGGTGGGGATCATTGTACTCTCTCATGAGATTCTTCTGAGGATTAAGTTAATAACATGTAAAGTACCTAGAAAAGGGCCTAGCATGTTGTAAGTGCTACTAAGCATTTGTTATTATTATTACTTTAAAAAATTGTCTTTGTTTCAGGGGCTCAATATAATCATATATGCATCACTGGGACATAAAATAGACTCTGTGTATACTTTTTACTGACTTTTTTTCATAAAGGCTATTGTAAGCACTATATCGTCACTAATAATTTTACAAAATATTTTATTTCATCTTAAATGAATACAATTTTAAAATTGTGATTTTTTATTGGCAGTTGGGACCAGAATCCCATGCCACCTCCACTTTTTCCTGACACCCTATCTGTTCTATGTTATTAACAGAGCAGAAATACTGGGTTCCTTTAGAATAAATAGATGTGGCTAAACTTCAGCTTTGACACTCAAAGATTAACCTTTTGACAGGGTCAACACCTATCTTAGCTATCTTAAGGCTACCTATGGAGAGTACCAGGTGTAAAATAAAAATTTATTACTGTTTGGGAATCAGTCAAGAACTATGTATTTCCCCTTTTGTTGATTATTTTTAACGAATCACTGACCACAGATTAATATGTTTTGTACTTTGGGACAAATGATTCTAAATCATAACATTTGAGTCCTAGTTTTATGAACTACTCAAGGATACTGTTCCACAGATATATCTGGATGAAGTTTGGCAGTTAACTATTATAGATTCTTCCTAGTACTGGAAAAAAGCTTTAAAATGTATTTAATGTAAGTTTAGAGTCAAGACAGCCTGAGGCTAGTGAGTAACATAGATGTTTTAGGAATTCTGTCTTTAACACCAACATAAGTCAAACGTTTGTACACTATTTTTGACATGTACTACTTATTGCTGATTCAGATTATAATAGTGTATTATTGTCTTCATTTTGCTTATTTAACACTGAATTTTTTGGTATTAGGTACTGTACTGGGGTTGGGAAGAAGACGTAATTAAAAGTTACTAAGAGGTTCTTCTTTCAGGGAGTTTACAGTGTACATATAGGTGACAACAGGCTATAGTACTATGTGGTAAATTGTAATTTTGTCTAGGACAGAAGTCAGCAATTATAGCCTTTGGACCAAATTCAGCTGCTGCTTGTACACCACCACACCCATTCTTTTATGCAGCTTTTGTGCTAGTATGGCAGAGTGAGTAGTTAGAGACTTTATGCCCCTCTACAAAGCCTAAAGTATTTACTGTCTGGCCTTTTGCAGGAAAGATTTGTTAATCCCTGATATAGAGGAATTGAAGACTTTGCAGAGGAGATTTTAAATTTAGGCCTTTGGAAACGTGAGTAGGATTTCATTCCAAGATTGCCAGGAAGAGTAGAGAAAAAGCATTCTAGGCTTAGAAAGCAGCAACAACAAAGAATGGTACTAGAAGCATAGCATGTTTGGGAAACTAGATAGTGTTCTGGACTAGATGATAGGGAAATGGCTAGAAGTGTAGGATTGGGCCAGACTGGTAAAGTCTTGCAAAACTTAAAAGATTTTGAATTTTAGTTAGCAGAGGATCATTCACAATTTTTAAGGGAAGAGGATATGATATATTTGATAAAGAAAACTGATGAGAGTATTATTGATGATGCATTGGAAGGAAGAGAGACTGCAGACAGAAAATACTATTTTTTATGCTGAGGATGGCGAGCGTGAAAAGAAAATACATTTAAGAATAAAAAAGAGGCTAGGCTTGGTGACTCATGCCTGTAATCCCAGCACTTTGGGAGGTCAGGGCGGGAGGATTGCTTGCTCACAGGAGTTTGAGACCAGCCGGGGCAACAAAGTGAGATCCTGTCTCTACAAAAAATAAAAAAAAATTAGCCAGATGTGATGGCACATGCCCGTAGTCCCAGCTGCTTTGGAGGCTGAGGTGGAAAAATTGCTTGAGCCCAGGAGTTGAGGCTGCAGTAAGCTGGGATCATGCCATTGCACTCCAGCCTGGGCAACAGAGCGAGACCTTGTTTCAAAACAATAAAAATAAAAAAAATAGTATTCTCAGTACTATAGGACCTGATTAAGTTTATGGGACTGAAAATGATTTATACTTTTCAAATATGGAATCTGGCTGTAAATGTTGCTGTTATCTTTTGGTGGGGGTAGAGGAGCAGCTACAGTTACTGTGGTGGTAGTGGAATGAGTTTGGAGTCCAACATGTCTCACTGGTGTGTTTGGATAGAAATTTCCAAAAGACATTGAGAAATACAGTTAAAGCTGTATTTCTAGGATTACCTACAATGATTTTTAATTTACTTTTGATGTGATGTTTTTGGATTTGCCGTATTCTGAAGTGATTTTTACACATGAAAGGTCTAAGAAAGTGTTTTGAAGAAGTACATTTCTGATAGTATGTGTAAATTAAATCATTTGAAAATACAGTTACATGGACAGAAATTTGGAGTTTTGTGAAATAAATGAAACCCACCTTAACTGCCTCTATATCAGTTTACTAATATTTTCATTGAAAATAAATATATTTCTTGTAATTAAATTCTACTTTGTGGAACAAGAATAGAACATGAAGGCATGGAGGAGAATCATTATAAAGTTATATATTAGGTAATGTTTTTGCTGTCCAAAATGATGAGCATTTATAATTCCCAAGAAAAGCTGCATTTTAAGGAAGAATATTGATAAAAGAATATATAGACACATAGCTCTGAAATAACTAACACAATTAAAGTACCAGTGGGATAAGAATTTATACATCTTGGAGCCCCATCTGTTCCCCAATCACCCTGTTGCTTCTTTAAGTACATTAATACTTTCAGCAAGCTGCTTTTTTGGTTCACCTGTCATGTAAATTATTTAATTGGTGAAGAAAATTTCTTAACACTTTTTTTCCTTGTCCTGCTTTTTTGTTGGGACTAAATTCAAAATAAGTTGAGTATGTGCCATAGAGTTAAGTGTGGTATTTTATTTTGGTGTTATGGCTGTAGATATGCCAGCTCCTTTTTGACTGAATATTTATGAGCTTTGATGATTTGCATACTTACAGTAATATACTTCAATTAGTTACTTGGCAGCCTTTTTGGATAAAATTAATGGATAAAAGGAAACTATTGAAAATATGTGTAGATGATATAATAGTCATTTGAATAGGTGATTATTGAACCTAATATAGGTGAAACAGCCACAAAACAATAACTTGTTGGAGATTTTGATTGTATTTTTTTCGTTCTGGGTTCTTTAAACATTCCAGTATTTTCCATCTATAAGCAGTTTTTTGTTTTTTGTTTTTTAATGATTCTGTAACCTTTAACAGGACCGAGTTATTTTTAATAGCATAGTAAAGGCCATAAATACCTTTTCTTGTAGTGGCAGATAGTGTATATAATTACTTCAGAGATATTTATTTAGATATTGTTAGAATTTTGTTTAGTAACTTAACAATTTTTATGCCACAGATTTTTATTTTAATTTTTATTGTGGCTATTGATTGAAGACTGGTAAAATTGAAAATACTTAAGCTTATTACTATGTTGTTATATATGATTATATTTAGTGTATTAAAATACACAATTACCATTGAGGTTTGAAACTACATTTATTTTTAGTTAGTTGTCTGAGAGTGATTTATCCAAACAAAACGGGTAAGCTTTAAGGAGACCTTCTTTCCAGAGGTTTTTTTTGGGGTGGGCTTTCCTGCTATAGTCAGATTTGATCCTATTTACTACTTTCTAAATTTTGGAAAACCAAGAGGTTCTTCTAATCATGAAGGTATTAGTGGAATTTTCATCTGCTCTCTTGAGATTGTGCCTGTGTCTGCGATGGCAGTACTTTTTGTCTTTCGCAGTTTTTCTTGTTTTGAAGTTGGATTAAATTTGAGGAAGAATCAGTGTTAGTATGACATTTAGTTAGCAAGCAGCTTTTATTTAGTTAGCTCCAATTATTTTGTTGGTATGTCTCTCCACAAGTAGATGACACACTCCTTGTGTGCTTGATGTCAGTGGAGCCTAGTACAATTCTTGATTATAGTAGATCTTAAATAAATATGGAATAAATGTAGTCTTTTAATTTTGCCTCTGTGTGATATAGTTTTGCTTACTTTTTTAATAAGACAAGTTGCTCATAATAAAAAGGTTAACATTCAAAATATGGATTTGGTTTTTCTAATTTCAGGTTTATCTCGGGGTTTGGGGATCTCATTTGACATTTTATTGTCAGACTAAATGTTGACAGTCACAGCTTTAATTCTCATCTAATATTTAGTTGATATCACAAATGAATGCCTTTGTGACTATGCAGGTTTATTAAAATATATATTTTTTTAAACTGTAGTGACAGACTGGATATTGGAAAGAGATCCCCATGAAGAAATACTCAAGGCATTTAAACTATTTGATGATGATGATTCAGGTAAAATAAGCTTGAGGAATTTGCGACGTGTTGCTAGAGAATTGGGTGAAAATATGAGTGATGAAGAGCTTCGAGCTATGATAGAAGAATTTGACAAAGATGGTGATGGAGAAAGTAAGTTTTAAGTGAAACATATGTTCCAAGTATTCCTGATGCTACACATGTAATACATTTTTCTAAAAACAAATGACTTGCAAGACTTTTTTGTAAGCTTACCGCTTCTTGTAATGGGCCTTCTGTCTAAATAATTCACATATTCAGTTTAGAATGAAGCAGATCTCTAAAACCAATTACACTTCAAGAAGGTACCTCACTTTTCTCTGAAGGTGAAACATCACCAAAATTTCAGCCTTTCAATACAATTTCAGTCTTTAATGGCTTCTCCCTTAACCTACATGCTAAGTTCTAAGTTCTATAGATTTTCCCCTTCAAATGTTTTAAATCTGTTTTTATCTTTGTCTGCTGTGGCTGTCCTAGTTCAGGCCCTAATTTCTAATTAGGAATGTTATAATGGCCTCATTTATTCTTACCTTGGCTGCCTACTGGGTGCAGTGTCCTGTGTGTTGACTGGTGCTACACAATGAAAAAGGCAGATGTGGTTCCTGCTTTCACTTTGCAGTCTCTTGTAGTGTCCTGATTGCCCTTTAGGCATATAAAAGTCTCTAATCTCTTCTTCAGTCTCTTGGTCTCATTCTTTTCCTAAAATATACATTTGATAATGCCATTTCCTTGTTCAGACACTTGGAACGATTCTTCAGTGCCTACAGAGTAAACTTCAAAGCCTTCTATCATCTGTCCCACCTTGAGTAATTTTATTTCCCAGTGTATTCTTCCACTTTTCTTCTTTAACCCTCACCTCCTGTATGTACACATTTTGTCAAAATACTCTATCCTGAAAACACATTTTTATGCTATTCATTTCATCATGCTGTTTCTTAAGAATGCTCTAATTGTTAATTTCTGCCTGCTGAAATGTGATTCATTCTCTCAGGTACGTATTAAACACCATCTTTTTCTCAAAAGCTTCCCATAACGCTCTCTGTATGAATCATGAGACTTCCGTTGAAGGCCTATAGCATTTAGAGAAACAGATTGTTTTGATACATTCATACACTTAATATGGAATCTTTTGGCTGGAAACTTAAGTTTTGTTGAGATAAAAACCACTTTATTTGTGTGTTAAACTGCTGAAGATTAGACCTTGCTGTTTTTTTGTGAACTTTAGTATTCTTCTGTCTTTGTGACTTTTTCATGCTTTTCGGTATCTAAGAGCAATGAAATTTTAAAAATATTGGGTATATAAAATAATAAACATGGCGAATGTGAAGTTAAAGGTAAATAAGATATACTACAAGATAGACATAAAGCTGTAATAATGATACAGAAAGAGTCACTTCCCAACCCCCCGCCCACAACATATATAAAATAAAACACAGCACATCTTTTGGAAAAAATGAAAGGAACGTTTTGAAAAGCCAGAATGGATCATCTTTTAAATAATGATGATGTTTGTTAACATTTATTTAGCAGTTACTGTATTGGATATTAGCATGAATTATGTCACTTAATTTCCATAATAACTTGTAAAGTAGATATAATATTATACCTATACATGCGTGTAATAGATGTATATATATAGATGAGGAAACTAAAGCTTTGAGAGATTAATAGTCTGTCCCAGGTTATCATAAAGCTAATACTGTACATGGTAGAGCCAGAACTCAAAATCAGATCTCCATAATAGCAAAGAATATGCTTTTAAATATAATATTGTATTGCCTCTTGGGCTATGAAGTAAAATATTAACTAGACTTCTATGTTTATGGAGTTTTAAAAATTACATACTATTATAGGAAGCAGTGTATTAGCAACATACTCATTTGGAACTTTGAATTCTAAGATTTGCTTTTCCCCTTCAAAGCCAGATGGTCTCTAAGGTACTTAATCTACTTAGTTCTCTAAAATTCCTATTGTTAGCAACTTATAATAAGATTTGCTCTATGAAATGGTTGATTTATGAAAAATTTTGTTAAAGAAGGCAATACAAAAGGAAACAAAGTGTCATATTTTCTTGATTCAATAAATGTTTTACCAAATGCTTATTTTAAGCTAGGCATTGTGGTAGATTTATTAGATATAGGAACTTGATTGAAGATATTAATAGAGAAGGTTATAAAACCAAATGTACAGAGGTATAGAAGATTGTTTTTTAACTGCCTACAAGACTCTCTGATAGTAAAGTAGCTAGTTTAATTTCCTGAGCCACTTTCTAATTTTTACTTTTTGGGGTTTAAGTACTATGTTTTTAGGTATGAATCATGGAATTCAGTTGTCCCTTGATAAGCACAGGAGATTGGTTCCAAGTCACTTAAGGATGACAAAATCTATGGTGCTCAAGTCCCTTGTATAAAATGGCATAGTATTTGCATATAGCTTTCACATATCCTCCTGTATACCTTAAATCATCTCTAGATTACTTATAATACCCAATACAAGGTAAATGCTATGTAAATAGTTATACTTTATTTTATTTGTATTTTTTTATTGTATTATTTTCCCAAATATTTTTCATTGCAGTTGGTTTAATCTGCAGATGTGAGGAACTTGTGGTTACAGAAGACTGACTGTAGTTTTAAATACGTTTGAAATGCTATTATAATTTAAAGTTTTTATGCATAAACAATATAAAAATCAAGTGTTTTGTGGTTTTCAAACTTCTATATGAAGCTTAAAATGTGCAGTTTGAGTATTGAAATTTTACAGATCAAGAAAAAGTTCTAGATCTTTAAGTAACAAGTACTTTTTGGATTTTGAATATTTTAATCATGGCTGTATTACACTGTTAAAATGATTTGTAATCAAATCATTCTAAGACTGTTTTATGTTTTTTTCTCTTAATACAGTTCTTAAGAACATACTCTTGCTTCCTATTTGGTCTAGATGTCTCAGTCTAAATCGGGGGTTCTTCAGTGAAGGTGTACACTGGCTGAATTGATTAATAATTTTATATATTTGAGCTTTATTTATTGGAAACAGAGAGAGATCATAGCTTTCCTAAGATATGCAGACATGGCTATTTAACTGCAAAGGTTAAAGATCACTACTTCAATTTGTAAGATTCTTGAAAGTAGTTTGAAAGTACTACAGATTTTGTATTACGTTCTTACTATGTCTGTCATAGTGTTTTATAGATGTTAAATATTGATTGCATGGATTTGTAGTTCCCTGTCAACTTCTAGAGGGTGCATTTTTCCTAACTCGTAGCTTATTTCTGTGAGGCATACACTATTCTCTTTCTTGACTGTATTTCTGATGGTATTCTCCCACCCCAGCTCCCTTTCTACATCCTTTCCAAATTCTGTATTTTTATTTTAGAGCCCAAGTTATGACTTACCTTTACCTGAATTTTTCTCATTAGTAATAAGTTTTACCATTGTGAAGGATTTTTTTCAACACTGATTTAGTCTTTATTTTAATAATAAATAGTATTTTGTGTTATAAAACATTTGTTCTGTTTCAAGTATAAAAACTGACTAACATGGTTGTCAAAACTGGTTTTCTATGTGGTTTCTAGAACCAGTGCAGTATATATTCTTTCCATTCCCTGTGACCATGTTTTATCTCCTCAACATTTTTTAATTGGCTAATATTTTCTAACTATTCATTATGAATATTCTCAAATGTAGAGAAAAATTGTCAGACTACTACAGTGAACACCATTGTACCTTCTGCCTAGATTCAGTAATTAGTATTTTACCGCATTTGCTTTATCTGTTGTGTGTATGTTTTTTTCTCAATCATTTGAAAATAAATTTCATATATTAAGAACTTAATCCTTTAGGCCAGGCACCATGACCCATGCCTGTAATCCCAGCACCTTGGGAGGCTGAGGCAGGTGGATTGCTTGAGCCCGGGAGTTCAAGACCAGCCTTGGCAACATGGTGAAACCTTGTCTCTACCAAAAATACAAAAGTTAGCCGGTCTCATAAATAAATAAATTAATAAATTAAATTTTAATAATAAAACAGAAAAAAGCTTGATCCTTTAATATTTTAGCATATCCATCTTCTAAGAACAAGGATATATCTTTCATAAAGCTATGATACCAATGTTACACTCAAGAAAGTTAACAATAATTTTATAATATCATATAGTATCTTTCCCATTTCAGTTTTAATGTATACCAGAATAGGAAGCCTGGTGTCTGTTTTGATATATTACACAACACTTATTGTGGTGTTAGCATTCACTAGCCACTTAAAACTGTTTGATTCAATGGAGTATTTTCATATAATACCTTCTATGGTAAATAAGAGTTAAACAATCTAAAATATCATCTCATAGTTCAGTGTTTTGAGATGAAGGAAATGAGATGCAGAACTGTTCTGTGCAGAGCTATGACTAGAAACCAGGTCTTAATGTCTCTGTAGTTTTCTTTTGGCATTATCAAAATTATCATTCATAACTTGTGTCTTGCTTAGGTATGTATTAAGTCTTAGGGCTAAATGCTAAATACTTAGTAGAAGTATCTTCTGAACATTTTTCTTAATTGATATGTGTGCATATATTGGGTTTTCAAAATTATATTCAGTAAGATTATCTGATTTCTTATTTCTAGGTTGCTGTCTTAAACATAATGTTTTATAAATTGGAGATTCTTACTATATTTATAATTTTGGCAAACTAAATATTAGTCCTTATCCATGATTATTTTCTGCATTTACATCTATATAGTTGCTGGATTACCTTGGCAATTAAGATTAAATCTGTAATCTTTTCAAATTGTCATTTTTATTGATACTTTTGAGGTATGGTGACCTGGTTTTAATTATTCTTTAACATAGGCTTTTAAGCATATAAAAGTTCAAAAAATAATAATTTCTTATTTTTATAATTTTAATATATTTTCATTCTTTAGAAATCTAATTTACATGCATGATATGTTCAAGCTTACTTGTAAAGGAAGGATTTGCTAAATGAACTAGTAGAATAAAGATTATAAAGAAGATTGTTTAAAGAACTTTGAAATGTCAAGCATTTAAAATGTTTTAGCAAGTATATACAAATATGACTGTGATTGACTTTTTTGGTAACATTATCTTTTCCCCAGTTAATATTATAGAATACTAATTTATAATGTTTATCACATTATATGTACTTTTGCATTCAAGAAGTTACATTTAATAAACATGTTCCACTGCCTAACGAAGTAAAAGCAAAAAGCCATGTCTTGATGTAACAATTTTGCATAATGTAAAAGTTTTTAAATACTTAGTGTAAAATGGTAGTCCTGGACTCTGAAAAAATAAAATGTTTATATTTCTGACTGTTTCATTTTCTTTCTTACCACAGTAAACCAAGAGGAGTTCATTGCTATTATGACTGGTGACATTTAAAGAATTACAAGGATAAACACTAAGAATGTTGCAGTTATCATCTTATATTCTATTTTTGTGCCTGGAGCCATTTGAAAAAAACCAACTTAGTTCTTTTATCCAAAAGGACCAAAAATAAGCATCTTATGTATTTGTATTTTACTACTGTTAAGTTTCTTTGTATGAAGTATGTTGTTAGTACTCAGATAGTTTAGCTTTGTATTTATAATAGAGCTTTTATATAAAGTTTTTAAAAATTGGATATGTGATATGTGTTCTTTGAAGATTTTTTAATTTAACATTAATAGTCACTTTTATTTTGGTGCACACGTTTTCTAGACTTTCATTAATAAAATACTTATTTTATTAGTATTTTAAAGTTTGGTAAATTTGTTTTTATTCCTAGTATCTGTTAACCCTCAAGAGTGTATTTCTTAAATCTCCTCTTTATAATTTTACTAGTTTCTGAAACAAAAATTGAAATACAAATAGCAATAGAATGGCACATTTTTCCATTACCTAACATTTCATCAATTTTGACAGTCTATATTTTAATACAAGATGACTCAATATAAGCCTAATTCCTTTTTTAAGAGTCCTGTCTTTGAGTTTAGCGGGAATAAGTATTGTCTAGATAGACCCATTTATCCTTGTGTATTATGTTTCTTAACTCTTTTGGTATCAATGTAAGTATGAAAGTTAATTTTTTTCTGAATATTTCCTCAAACGAATTGAATGAATACAATTTGAATTCTCTAACTTCTTGACTAAGTGAGAGATTTAAATTTTGGAATTTTGATTTGTTAAAGATAATTATCATTCAATTAAATGTCACAGTGGTGAAAATAGAAAGCTGTAAGCCACAGAAATAATTTAAGTCTATGTTTAACCTATATAAAGGAACAGTCTGTGATTCACCAGGAAATAGTAGAGACAGACTTTCCAAGCATTGGTGGGCTCTTCTGCCTTGTAGAAGTGTATGTTAGGGGGAAACAAGTGGTTATGGAGATGGATCATAGGAAAAATAGTACCTATATGGATCCTCACTCATAATCTAGTACTTGGTGTTACGGGCTGTCCCAGGAAGGGAATTGAGTTGTCTATTTCAGCAATCTTTCTTTAGAATTCTTGTTTTAAATTTTAAGTTTAAAGTACGGTATAATTTGAGGCACTTTAAATGTGAGCCTTTTAAGAGTATTACATTAAGGGCTGTCCACTAGAAATTTAACACAAAATCAGTAGGGAACACTACAGCAGTAGTGACATTTCAAACAGTTGTCTAGAAAGCAAGTATATATTAGGTCATTCTTGTATTGCTGTGAAGAAATACCCAAGACTGCGTATTTTATAAAGAAAAGAGGCTTAATTGGCTTATGGTTCTGCAGGCTTTACAGGAAGCATGGTGCTAGCATCTGCTTCTGGAAGCTTACAATCATGGTAGAGGCAAAGCGGGAGCAGGCACATCACGTGGTGAAAACCAGAGTGAGCAAGTAAGAGAAATACCAAGCACTTTTAAACCACCAGATCTCATGAGAACTCACTATTGTGAGGACATCTAATCACCTCCCACCAGGCGTCACCTCTAGTACTGGGGATTACAATTCAACATGATATTTGGGTGGGGATAGATACACAAACTATATCAGCAAGTTAACTAGAGTAAAACTTAATTTTGAATACAAATTCAATGGTCACAGTCATAACAACATTCAGGGCAACAGACCTTGAAATGAAAACATTTTTATCGCACTTACTGATGAGTTGCCTCTGTCTTGATCATGAAATATATTGATTTCCAGGAAAATGAAAAATAAAACAGTAAAAGTAAATCTACTTTTGCGAGTCTTCTAGGACTTTATTGGAATAGTGAAGCTATTTTTTGCCACTTTATAGATATTTTGTCTTTTTTCTTTTTGGGAGGGGGTACAGAGTCTCATTCTGTCCCCCAGGTTGGAGTGCCATGGCGTGATCTTGGCTCACTGCAACCTCCGCCTCTTGGGTTCAAGCAATTCTCCTGCCTCAGCCTCCCAGGTAGCTGGGATTACAGGCGCCTGCCACCACACCCAGCTAATTTTTGTATTTTTAGTAGAGGTGGAGTTTCACCATGTTGGCCAGGCTGGTCTTGAACTTCTGACCTCGGGTGATCTGCCCGCCTCAGCCTCCCAAAGTGCTGAGATTACAGGTGTGAGCCACCCCACCCGGCCGTCTTTTTTCTTAGTATACTTCTCCTTGGGATACTAGCACCTTTGTTTCTTCTCTTACTGTGGGTTAGAGAAGAGTGCTCATCTGGGCTCTTCATGTTTGTGGAAAACTTGCCTTACAGTAGGATATGAATTATTGTTGTTTCTTCTAGTATTCATAATCAGTAACTGTAGAGTGGAAAGGAAAAAATACTGGCTAGTGCAGTTGACTGTATGAAGAGTGATTTTTTTCTCTTAAAAGAGGGAAGTAGGTATTTGTCATATTTATCCTTATGATCCTACTTACTATGCAGTGGCATTTCATCATGTGAGAAAGTTGTTACCTACTAAACTTGCTTAGTGCATTGCTACTCTGGTTTCCTGGTGAGCTTTGATGCTAGTCACTGGAAATAAAATCTCTTAGGGATTTAATAGTGATGTGTTTTTTAAAGATCGTTTACAATGTTCTGATGACCAATGTGAAAAAGAAAAAATAATTTAAAAAACCACGATGTGTAACGTATTACAATTTTAACAGTGTAATATAAGGAATGGGTTACATTGGTACTGGAGAACCAAAACAAAAGCAGAAAGGACACATAACTTCAGGTGGCAGCTACCACCCCTAGGCCTAGGGGACCGAGATAGAGGTTGTGGTTACTAGACACTTTGGGGAGAGCTTCAGCAGAGCAGGGACTCAGACATCTGAGGAGGGGCCACTGGTAAATGGTAGTAGTGTAGATAGGGAATGATGAGGCTGGTATGGGGAATGCTGAGAAAAGCTGGAGACGAACTAAGTGTCACTACTGGAATGAAGAGCTGTTGCTCTGGGAATGCTAGCAGGAATAACAAGCAAACAGGAAACAGCAAGATTCTTTCCCTCTCCTGCCTTTATGTCTTTATCTTCTAGTGCTGCTATTAGTGGAGCCTAACAAATATTCAGGTGGCAAGGGAGAAATGTAGTTTTCATAGTCCTAGCCCTAGTATTACACAGTTTGAGTATAGAATAGTGGTTTGGAGTTGTGGGGAGAAAAAGTAGTTCAATAACTAGCACAGCTAATTATGTATTTTATTATCTGAACCAGGTTACTTCTGAGAACGAAGGAGCTAGAGGGTAGGGGGGAGCTATTATTTACACTATGATAACAGATGTAAACCAGAACTGTCCTAGGCAAATCATATGATTGATCTCTGGGAATAGTAACCACTGTTATTTTAGAGAAGTTACACATTTTAATCTTAATAACCTTTTGGGGTAGATACTGTAGGATTGTCTTTTACAAACATTTGGAGGGTTTAAATAACATGTTGAAGGTAACAGGTTGTAACTTAATGGGAATATGATCCCAAGTTTTTTTACTCTAGAGCCCACTCATAACTGATGCTGTCTTCTTAACAATGACTTTTATGTACTCTCTCAAGATATAATACATCACACCTTTAGAACCACAAAACATGAAAGAGAATTTGAGCTTCAGAGCTCAGCTGAAAAACATTTGTGAAACGTGTTTGTTTAAGTTAGCATGGCATTATATTATGTGTTATTCCATGTAAGTTAGTGTTTTGTGTCAGACCTCTGGAAGCTTATAATCTTAGGTAATTATATAGTCATGGGGACAACATATTGAAAGAATCAGTTTGGAAAAGAAATACATTAAAAATAGTGTTAAGCAAATACTTATTGAGAAAGTACACATTATTGAGTAGTGAAGACTTGCAAACGATTTTCATTTTGAGGGTAAAATTTAGGGAAACATTTTATCACTTAATTTTTGTGGAGAAGATTTTATTTTAGGGACTGTTTAAAATGAAAGGAACTTTAGATTTAGAAGTATGGTTGATAGAAGGTTGTGTGGGTGGTCTTAAGCATTAAGCCAAAGAGGAGGAGGAAGCAAGGTTTGTGGACCTGAAGCTGGTAGTCTTAAAGCAAAGTTCTTGTAGGTCTCAGTTGAGGTGCATTGGTTGGAGGAGAGGGGTGGTCAGTAAATGTGATTTTAATATTAGAATTGTGCAGAATTTGGGTTGTAAGCAGTAAATCTCAGAATGAAATATGGTAGCCTACTGGATGAGAGCTTAGTTGCATCTTGGAGTTCTTGGAATAGATTTTCAGTTGGAATAGGTAATTTGTTTACCTTTCCTGATTCTGAATTCAGAATATACTGTAGTTAAACCATGCATTGAAAACTTCATCCTAGATGCTATGAAAAATTGCCAAATGAAATGTAAAATAAAACCAGGTTCTGGTTTATCTGAACTTTATGATTGTATGTTAAAAGTAACCTTTGTGAGGTATACTCTAAATACTAGGTGTTTTTATTAATAATTTTATCTAATTGTCTACAGAAATGCAAATTATCTCTTTCATGAGAACTTTGGAAACCTATATGTCTTGTGCTATTCTGAGACTATGTAAAATATATTTTCATTATATAATGATTTTAGGAATATTACTGACATTTTATAGAATCAAACAGCAGCAGGGTTACCTCCATTTTATGCTTAATTAAGAATATTTTTAAATAGGTTTTCTTTATTCTACAATAAAATAAGTAAGAGATACTTAATAGAATCCCTGGAGTCCAACATTTCTGATTTTAATATGCTTGTAACATTTGCTAACACACCACTGTGCACTCTGAAAAGGGCGATCCTTTTCACTGTATGGTATTACCTAGACTGCCTATCTCCAGGGTCTTCCAAAAGGTCCGTGTATGTTTGACAGCACAGAGACATGTACTGTTGTAGAGCATAAATTCTAGAGACTTATT